ATTGAGTAATCTAAATAAATTGCCCATGCAGCACTAAGTAAAAAGTTCAAAGGTTGAGTAAGTGTTGCCGCCAAGCAAGAGCTAAGTATAGAAATGAAGTTGTTGATGGTGTAACAAATAGAATCACTTTGTTCATTTACATGAACTTTCACTTGTGTTACTGTTTTCTAGAAACCAAACAAATACAGGTTTCTCCCTGCTCTATTCTCAGCGCCATAAATCCACCACCTGTTAAAATAAATATTAACATCAAAAAGTGCAATTCTTTAATCAAAGATTATCAGACAGGCAATGGAAAACTAGTGCCTGGGAGAATTTTAAAGAATAAGCATTGAAAGCCTTTTCAGAATCCTCTTGTAGAATGTCCCCTACAATTATGCTGCATGCAGTGTATAGTGTATAGAGAAAAATGAATGCGCTTTAACTTTTTTGTGCATTTACTATTCTTGCCTCTTGGTCGAAAGGGAACTGAACCTCAAAGAGTGAACATGTCTAAACATGTTATGCTTTTTCACAAATGCTTCTGTTTGCTCTCATTCTAACAAGTAGTACTTTTTGGAACAGTGGCCAGTACTTATCTGTGAGGTGCTTGATCTACACTTTACAGGAGTCTAGAAGAGCACCTCCTTTAGCTCTATGCACTTCATGTTTGTATGCATGCACTTTCTTTTCATTACATTGAATGGAAAACAGCAGCCCTAGTAAAACAATTGTAAATGGAGAAGCAAGACGAATGTAAGAGAGGTAGAAATAATATTGTACCACATGCAATCTGCAATATAAAGCCAATATTTTAAAACTCTGATAAAAACATTGGTTGTATTAAGAACCTTATCAATGAACTCACATCCTCCTTTGAAGCTATATCACTAGCTGCTTTTCAGGAGAGTGTTTCTTGGCAGATGCAGCTTAACATGCATAGGTGACAAGAGCCACAGACATTTGATTCATGGTACAGAAATGCTATTCTGGTTTCACCCAGAAGCTGCAATGTGATCTGGGGCACTGTCCCCAATACCGTCACACCAGTGGTTGTACAATGCCACATTATTTTAACAAGTAAGGTAAAGGTAAAGGGACCCCTGACCATTAGGTCCAGTTGTGACCGACTCTGGGGTTGCGGCGCTCATCTCGCTTTATTGGCCGAGGGAGCCGGCGTACAGCTTCCGGGTCATGTGGCCAGCATGACTAAGCTGCTTCTGGCGAACCAGAACAGTGCACGGAAACACCGTTTACCTTCCCGCCGGAGCGGTACCTATTTATCTACTTTCACTTTGACGTGCTTTCGAACTGCTAGGTTGGCAGGAGCAGGGACCAAGCAACAGGAGCTCACCCATCGCGGGGATTCGAACCGCCGACCTTCTGATCGGCAAGTCCTAGGCTCTGTGGTTTAACCAACAGCGCCACCCGCATCCCTTCTTTATTTTTATTTTTTTAACAAGTAGGCCCCCATAATAAAAAGTTGCAGGGTATCCTTGTACATGTACGTGCATTTGTGTGTTTTAAATACATGTAATAGGATTGAAAACAGATGCTAGCACTATCAAAAACAGTTGTCCCTGATGTAGCTTGGGTCTTTTCTCATGCTTATTTATTTATTTATTTATTTAGCTAGCTGCGGGAGGCAGTGGAAGACAGGAGTGTCTGGCGTGCTCTGGTCCATGGGGTCACAAAGAGTCGGACACGACTAAACAACTAAACAACAAAAAAAAGCTTTTGAACATTCAAAAGTGCAACAAGTCTGCATGCAAACGAATGGAGCATGAAGCTTCTGCATGCAACTGCGTGTTTGTTTTGGCCTGGGTGGGAGGTCTGAGGAGGCAATTTAAGTAGACTGACCTTTGGTGCAACCTAAAGGGTATGGAGGGGTTTTGACTGGAAATCCTAACTGATCTGAGACCTAATATAGTATTGATAATGGACTACATTGAAGTGCTCCCTCTCCCACTTCCCCTTTCTCAATCCCAATCTTCCAAACTGCAATGAGGTATAGCCACAGCATGACCTCCAGAATTCTTGTCTAGTACTCTCAATCTAACCCACAATGTGGGGATAAAATCCAGCTGCTCTCTCAGCTTTAGTCCAAACATCCAGAAAAAATCTGCAGGATTGTTGTAAAACCCTCAGAACTTGATATGCGATATTGTAAACTACATTGCAGGACTCTTCTAAATCATTCTCTCTTACAACCACAAAGCTTTCCAACCTGAGACAGTTAATTGCATTTGCTTTGGAATTTGCATTAGCAGGGCCATTTATTTTTCTAAAACATTTTACACCAAGAGCTTTATTTTGTGCTAGCTTGAGGATGGGGTGTGGGGTGGAGCATACCTACTTGTTCCTATTCATGGCTTCACTAAAATCTTGGATTTCTCAACCGAATTCTATAGGAAGCTCTCATTTAACAATAGCTTCTCAATGTGAACCACAGGCTGACCTGTCCAATGAGATGGCTGTATTATATATTATATCTATGTCTGTTTTCCAAGCACTCCATTCTATTCCTCCTCCCATCCTGTTTTCTGACTGCGCACCCCACCCCACAATAGCCAGTAAGTATTCCAAGCTCATCGAGCATGCTCAAAGCTGAAAATAGAATATAAAATAAAAATGCTATTTATTTATAGTCGTGTGTGTGTGTGTGTGTGTGTGTGTGTGTGTGTACATACACACACTAAGTCACAAGCAAACCTCAGAGACCTCTTGTCCCTGTAAAAAAAAAAAGGCTGGCAATTATATAAAATGTTATGGAGGAGGGAGGTTGGACTTTAAGACCTACTAATAGCCTACTTTATTTACTGCACAGTCACTTTTGCTTAATCTGTATTGACTGATGTACCGAAAAGACACATTCTTAAAACTACTATATTTTTAAAAGCACTGTCAGTGATGATAACATATCCAGCAAGACACATGTGGTCAGCATTTCAGTGATGCCTTAAATTTCAGTTACTTTTGTAATATCAGTAAGCTTCATGCAAAAGGTCACTTTCCTGGCAGAAGCACCAGAAAACATATAGCCTGGTTCAAGGCTGTCTTTAGTATGCCAAGCCTCACTCCTCTTGGGGAACTGTGCCATTTTCCCCACACACAGTCTCCCTGAGTTACCGATACCTCCACCTTCCTTCAGTCGACTGTATACAGTAGATGGACTCCATAGGCTTTCCCTGCCTTGCAATATATTCTGCCTCAAGTATGTAGTTTAAAATGTCCTCAGTCTAACAGTGAGCTGGGGTGATGAAGCATCCTGAAATTGCCATTGCCCATGAATCTGAATCAGAATCTACCTCCACATAAAATTATAAATGTATAAATGTGGAATTCTCTGTTATTTGCCTGCTGGTTGCAATCACTTGTGAGCACAGTGCCCTCCAGTCTTCAGGCTTATCTCCAAAGCTGTGAGCAACAGAAATAAATTTAACTTTTATTTTTTGAGAGAGTTAAAAAGAAGGTCGAAACTACCATTTTCTAGCATAAGTATCTTGGTAGCTCTTTTTGGACTACAGGATAAATGTAGCCCACCTCTGTTGGTAGGTGAGGACTTTCTTGTTTCACATACTTTTGGGAACTGACTGTATGGTTTAATAGATTATAGACAGAATTAATCTACCAATATTTGATAGTTTTTTAATGATTGGGGTTTTCCACTTATGTTTTAGTTGTTCTTATTTTCATGAATAAGCTGTGTTGAGTTCCTGTCAGGGAAAAGGCATGGTATAAATATTTAATGATAATTATATAGCAATAATAATAATAATAATAATAATAAACTTCTGTATTGCAGTGATCATTCTTTTCAGAGCTAGTACAGAAAAGGACTTAAACTCTGGCATGCAAAACCTTAAGATGAGCAGAGCTGGATACACAACTCTTGTGTCCTGATTTGGCCTTCGCATTGTTTTTTACCTATTCATGTTCTTTTACTTTTATTGAATTTTCAATGTATCATCAGCTGCCTTGAGTGCTATGGGCACAAAGGCCAGATATACATTGCAATAACAACTTATTAAATAATCAACTCAATAGCATACCTTTCCCTTATATTGCTTGAACTGCAAGAAACAAAAGGAAAGTTGATGTGCTACTATATAGGTTCAGTAGGTTGTCAATTAATTTTATGGAAAAAATGCAATTTTAGAAATTAATCTCCCCGCACAGGAAGTATGTCCCACTGTCATTAAACAAGCTGAAATTCCCTTGATTACAATTTTCATTAGTTAAGTTTGACAAAGAATCTTCTATTATAACCAGAGACCTTGTTTGCGTTTTGTGATTCTTACTATTATGATCCCAAATAGATCCATTTGTAAGATATGAAGGAGAGATATAATACTGGATACAGCAGTGTGTGTGTATATTCTTCAAGCGCAATATAAAAGTGAGTGAATATGGATGCAACAATTATATTAACAGCCAGCAGAATTCACTGTGGTTCCTTGTAATGAGAGGGCAAGTATATCTGAAATTCTTTTGTAATAAGACAGCTACTTTGAGATCTTGTATAGAATGTCCTGGGAGATTGAAGTGTTCTCCTACTGGTATCAGGAATCACAAGACAGAGAAACCAGTAGCTGTCTTATTACAAAAGAATTTCAGAAATAGACTGGAAAGAGAAGCTGCTGAATTGCAACTTATTACCAAACTTAAAACCATGGAGAGACCTGGTCTGAATAGAAACATTGGATTCTTATCTCACCATACATGATAAAGCTATTTTTAGCCATCTCACCCCATGCTTTTTCCTGTAAGACCAATTGCAGTCGTTAACAGTCGTCAACAGGTTTACCACACCTGTCAGGCAATCACCCATTCCCACCACCCTTCTGAGTAAATACCCTTCCCCACCCTCTCACTATATATAAGGGTCTGGTGACTTCTGTTTCAGTGTATCTGAAGAAGTGTGCATGCACATGAAAGCTCATACCAATAACTAACTTAGTTGGTCTCTAAGGTGCTACTGGAAGGATTTTTTAATTTTATTTATTTTATTTTGATTATTTCTCTATATTATCTGTATCATTAATGTTCTGCAGATTTAATACAAGTCCAACTGCAGTCATATAACTATAATATTGGCATAGGTGAGTACCTTCCTGAAGGGACATGCTTCAGAGTTGTTCCACTAAACAATAAGAAATCACAACTGGCCACCGGAGAATGGGTTTCAGGACTGTCACTTAAGGAATTTCTCAAATCTACAGCAGTACTATCAATCATAAAACCACGGGAACAAATAGCAACAAACAAGGTCAGTGCCTGAAGCCGCATTTATTATTTGTTCAGGATAAGGGTCCAGATGTATGTGGAGTAGATGCTGAGTGACAGGAAAGCAATGAGGAGTGAAAGGAATGGATGAGTGAAGTAGCCCGTATAGCACTGAATTACTTACCTTTACAATGGAACAACACTTAGAATGGGCTACAGGTTCTAGCAATTTCAACTGAAAATCAAAGCATTTGAACAAAATATTTATACTTCTAGGCAATGTATAAAGTTTATATAGAATACTCTAAGAGAGAATATTCTCTCTTAGAACTGATATTTTTGCTCCAGGATGATTAATGTCAATTTGTTTATTTAAAATATTCAAATACTGTTCTACCCATTCACACAGAATATCTGCTTGGTATACCTCCGTGTACAGCATGGGGAGAAGAGTTTTTAATAACTTGATTCTGTTAATGTCCTTGACCTGGGGTGAGGAACGTTTGGCCCTCCAGATGTTTCTGTTGAACTAAAAATCCACATCTGGGTGTCTGGGTGGCCAATGCTTCCTCACTTCTGCTCTTAGGGATGAACAAATCTATCATTTTTTATTTCTCTGAGATTCCCATGTTTCCAACCCATGACCCTGAAATTAAGAGTCCCATGCTCTACCGACTGAGCAATTGCTTCATAGGTATTTTCAAGACACGTATTTTCAATTATCCCCCCCCCCCACACACCATTCAAGAAACTTGACTTAAGTACAGAGACACAAATAGACTAGCTTATTAATTCACGCCAACATACTTCAGTGTTTGGTTAATTCATAAAACATTGTTAAAGGCACAGACCTTCTATCTTAAACCTATGAAATTAACTATAAGATATTACTGCTGATTTGGTTTTAATTTCTTCTCAGCTCTCTATTTTCTACCACCATTCTGAATCCTTTAAACTTGAGACAGAGAGGGAAAGAGTGAGTAGTACTTGAAAACAAAATGTATGCTTAGAATCATAGAATTGTAGAGCTGGAAGGGACCCATAGGCTCATCTAGTCCAACCCCCTACAATGCAGCAATCTCAACTAAAGCATCCATGACAGATGGCCATCCAACCTCTGCTTAAAACAATCCAAGGAAGGAGAGTCTACCACCTCTTGAGGGAGACTGTTCCACTGTCCAACAGCTCCTACTGTCAGAAAGGTCTTTAATGTTTAGTTGGAATCTCCTTTCTTGTAACTTGAAGCCATTGGTTCAGGTCCTACCCTCTGGAACAGGAGAAAACAAGTTTGTTTCATCTTCTATGTGACAGCCCTTGAGATATTTGAAGATGACAATCATATCTCCCTCTCAGACTTTACTTTTCCAGGCTAAACATATCCAACTCTCTCAACCGTTCCTCATAAGACTTAGTTTCCAGAACTGTGATCATCTTTGTTGCCCTCATCTGCACACATTTCAGCTTGTGAATATCCTTCTTAAATTGTGGTGCTCAGAATTGGGCACAGTACTTCAGGTGTGCAAGGTACTGTTCAAGGAAAGTACTGTTACTTTCCTTGATTGGGACACTCTACTTTTGTTGATGCAGCCTAGATTAGCATTAGCATTTTTGCTGCTGCACCACACTGTTAACTCGTGCTAAGCTTGTGGTCTACTAAGACCCCAAGATCCTTTTCACATTTGCTATTGTATCTGTGGAACTGGCTCTTCCTGCCTGTGTAGAATCTTACATTTTTCCCTACTGGAATTCATTTTGTTAATTTTGGCCCAATTCCCCAATCTGTTAAGGTCATCCTGAATCCCAATTCTGCCTTTAGAGGGATTGGTTACATTTCCGGTTTGGTGTCATCTGCAAATTTAATGAGCACTCCCTCAATATCTTCATCAAAGTCACTTATGAAGATGTTGAACAACAATAGGCCGAGGCAGAACCCTTCAGCATCCACTTAACACTTTTTTCTAGGATGGTGTTGAACAATTAGTGAGTACCCTTTGGGTTTGGTCAGCCAAACAACTACAAATCCACCTAACAGTTACCTTATCCTGTCCACATTTTACCAGCTTCTGCACAAGAATATAATGGTGAAATCAAGATACACTATGTCCACAGCATTCCCCTGATCCAACAAGCATGTAACTCTAACAAAAAAAGAAATGTGATTCATCTGGCATTTCTTGCTTTTGAGAAAACCCATGCTGGGTCTTGGTAATCACAGCATCCTTTTCTAAGTGGTCACAGATTGACTGCTTAATTATCTGTTCTAGAACCATAAAATGGAGATGGATGAGATAGCAGACAATGTTCAAAACTCCCATTGTTCTAGGCACATTTTGCAACTGAGAATTTCATTAGCACGAACAGTTTGAGCTCTGGGTGCGGTACTGCACCTAAGATTTCAGATAAAAACTGCAGAGCGGAAGGAAAGGAGGACCTTTTTCTGTCACTTCCAGCTATTCTCTGAAGACTGGAGAAAAGAGCCTTTTAAGAATATTAGGTGGTTGGGCAAGGGAAGGACTAGATCATGTGAAAAATGAACATACTGTTTTAGCTGCAGTTAGTTCATTTTCAGCTTTGTATTCGTGTTATTAAAAAAAGCATGCCTGGGCATTCCATTGTTCTGTCCATAACCTAGGTTTAAGGATCCATTTAGCTCCTAGCTTTCGTATCTCAGTTTCTAACGCTGATAGCCGAGCAATAAAGATAAGAATGAGTGTTCAAGGACTTGATTTGATGAACACAGGAGAAGACTGAAATACATGAAAATAACCATTTGTTCTGCAAGCAAAAAATTATTTTGAAGGGTACCTAAATATCTGCTATAAGCAAAAAATAAATCTACAAAATCCTAAGTCAAAAGCTAAATGGTGAACATGAAATTGTTTTAATATATTATTGTAATATTCTAATACTTTTCAATCTTAACTCATTTTGAATACAAGTAATTTCATTTCTTAAGTGCTTCAAAGTTATGTTACCTTGAATTTTCACCCTTAAAGGGATTAGAGCCTTCACAGAGAAACAAATTTCGAAGACCCAAATACTGGCAAACTAGCCTGACAGTTTTGAGGAAAAATGCAAGTACAGCAATAGTAGCACACAACTGTATTTGCTTGCTCTTTCAATGTTTAAAGAGAACAGGAGCAAAGCAGTGAGCAAAGTAAGAGCATACACATATGAGAAGATCTAGCTAGTTTCAATGATTTGCTCCAAGGGAAGAATTTTAATCTTTAGGGCAGCAGTATATCCTGTACTGATCTTTTAAGCAGAATTAAATGTGTTCCAGGGCTCACCAGGTTTGGTCCTGGAGCCAGGTTCAAGACCTGTTCAATATATTTGATGTAGTAATACAGAAGGGGAGACATAGTATCATAAAAAGAAAGGTTATAGGACACATCGTATTGCTTCTAGGGAGAATTTACTGCCAAGGCTGTTACGTTTAGAAATCAAGCGCTGATAAATATAATTGAAATCCTTATATTTTGTAACTGTACATTTTCAGGACTACCTAATAAACAAAACTAATAAACACTACTCTTATAGAGGAGGCACACACAAACAACAAGTAATTTTGATTTTTTAAAAATAGCATTAATGATCACTTATGTCACCAACAAGTAGGAGTCAATTAGCTTTGTGGAATTACATGCCGCACAATAATCATAGCAGCATAACAATCAACACTCCATTATTTTCAGGTAGAATATATTGTGGTCTGGAAAATAAATATGGGGTTGTTATCCAATGACAAAACCTGGTTGTACTGGAATTTCTTAATTTTTAAAGCCTCCTGGGCTTTTTACAATGGGACTAGCAACCTAAACCTACTAATGGTTTTAACTGTGGTTTTCACTATCGTAGCTATGCCCATCGTTTAGCTTTCTCATATCTTCCAGATAACCCTTCACCACTATTAACAAATTATTCTGCCTCGTCTTAACCTACTTGAACAGCCCTCTCTCACTTGTACCTGCCCAAACCTTTGTTTTTGGCAATGGCTCCTGAAAACAGATGGAGTCCAATGTAAGACAGGGAACAGACCAAGACATTGGCCCAAATCAGGGCTTTCTAGTTTATAAAACTTAGCAGCTGAACACATGTTAAAATATAAAAATTACAAAATAGGTAATTGGTTAAAAAAAGAAATGTACCACTTCCTCTAATAGCAAGCTCTGTGCATGAAGGGAGACAGAATTGCAGCCAAATCCAGGCCACAGACAGTCAAGGTGAAGCTATCAGACAGAACACCAAAGTTTGTAGAAATACAAGAAAAAAATATTTGACAGAGGACCCTAAGGGACCAACCTCCCCTTCCACAAGTTAACAACCCAATGAGCCACAGAACACTAAGTCTGCAATCTTAAATTGACTTACCTAGGAGTAAGCCCATTGAGGTCAATGAGACTTACTTCTGAGTACACATGTATGGAATTGCACTGTCACTGCTGGGTGGAATAGAAAAGGTGGAGAATGGAATAGAATGTAGTCTTCTAAGATATATCATAGCTGGAAGGCTTGAATCCTGAATAGCAACGTATTTCTTGCTAGTGCCACTCCCCTCCCATAAATTATTATTTTTATTAGTATGCCATCCTTCATAAAAAAGGATTTAACAAGTGCTGTTTGGCCCCGTTACATTAAAAAAAAAGCAACCTGTGAATAGTGCCTTGGGTTTTCAGAGTAGATAGATATTGTCTTGATCTCCAGAGAAAAAGCTACATAGGCCTCTGAGGTCAATAAAACAAATACATATATATAATAGCCCTATCTTGAGATAACTGTTCTTATTACAATTGAGTTAATTACAGTAGCTACTTTTCTCAGTTTTCATTATATCCCAGACCAGAATGGGCGATACTTGACTTCAGAGTTCGCCAGAGGTCTGCAGCCTAATTAGCTCAGCATATATTTCCTCCCTACCTGCAGACAATTGGCTTAATTTAATGGTTTTGCTCTTTTTTCCTTGCTCAGCCTAATTGGATGAGTTCTTGCTGCTCAACTTACTGTCAGAACTGGGAATAACTGTTCTATTTGCGCTTTATTGATAGCGGTCTTCACCAACATGGTACAGTCCTGCAAAATACGTGATGTGTGTGTGTGTGTGTGTGTGCGTGTGTGTGTGTGTGTGTGTGTGTGTGTGTGTGTGTGTGTGTAATAATTTATTATTTATATCCCACCCATCTGGCTGGGTTTCCCCAGCCATTCTGGGCAGCTCCCAACAGAATAGTAAAAACATGATAAAACATCAAAGATTAAAAACCTCCCTAAACATAATTTAGATGTATTCAGTTGTATTGTTTTATTGCTTATATGTTTGCTGCCCTGGATACATGACCTGACTATCTCCAGGTACAGCAGTTGTCTGCAAGGAATTCCCACAAGACAGGTTTGATCTTGGCAGCCTTCATGTCACATTTGCAGGCATCTTTGTAATGCGGAGTTCGTCTGCCAACGGGCCTGGTGCCTGAAGCCAGATCCCCGTAGAGCACATCCTTGGGGATGTTGTCATATTCCATTCTGTGGACATGACCAAGTCAGCACAGATGCCATTGAACTGGAGTGTGAACATGCGCTCTCCCAACCCACATTCCCTGCATCTGTTCTGCCACTCAAAATCTTCTTGACACAACCCGTGTGGAAAGTGTTGAGGTGTTGCTCAGGGTAGTTGTAAGTTGCCCAAAACACCCTTCCATAAAGCAGCATGCTCAACCCACAAGCCAATACAAGCACCCTGATTAAGGAATTCCTTCCCATATCAAATAAGGTTGACCTTATGATCTGTTTTTTGGCAGAAACTTCCAGAACTTTGGAGAAGTTATTGCTGCTAATTTGCTGTTATGAAGCTTTCCTGATTTTCCTGATGTTTATTTTTAGGTTATTTTATGTTTGCATTTTAAGAATTTATCCATGTTGGGATGCATGTTTGGTAAAGAAAAGCAGGCTATAAATATTTTAAATAAACAAAGTAAAAGAAACACGACAACCATTTTTCTGTGGAATAATGCCTGTTTTCACCTAGGGAAATTTCTTTTGTATAAATTATAGAGAGGCATAGGTAAATAAAGGTTTATAGAACATGAACTGTATTCACAAATTGCTTCATTAATTCAATTTAGTTTCTAAAAGCATACTGTATCAGTACAATGCAATCACTAAATAAATGTCAGGAAACTAAGGTTGACAATCAATTAAAACATTTTAGTTGATTAATCATCTGCCTTTTAACCAGTTAATTCATTTTAAATAATGGTGCACATCACCTAAAATCTCAATATATAAGGATGTTCACACAAAATAAAATGAGGTAGAAGAAAACAGCTAAATTGTCTTTTTCATTCCTGACTACAGTAACATAGGGTAAAAAAAACACACAGAAGAAATTGTCTATTCTCACCCCCATTGATATATATGTTTCCAGATTGACTGATTGATTTAAAGTGTAGTCCTATATTTGTCCACTCAGAAATAAGCTCCATTGAGCTGAATGGACCTTACCCCCAGAAAGATTTGTGTAGGATTCCAGACTTTAGTTAACTAATTAAATTGGTTGAATGTTAGAATCTGACTACTTATGCTGAAGTTGATTCACTATCACCCTTAATTTGCCACACATCTGCCCAAACAGTGCTCATCTTCATAAATAAATCCCATTTTAATTTCTCAGTGTATGCATTCTGGGGATGTAATTTGTACACTTATGAACTTCCAAGTACTTCCCTCCAGTTTATTGCATTTGTTCAAGTGTCCAGTGCAATCACATTCTCATCTGTCAGTCATGGTGTAGTAGTGTACCCTTCCCTCTTGCATACAAATTTACCCTACACCATTCTTCTTCAAAGATAGTCAGCATAGTTCAGAGTTATAATTCAGCAACATTAAGGATATCCTATTTCTAACTCTAATGGTAAATGCTGGTTCTTACCTAGCCATGGTTAACAATAACAGTGGTTGGGAGACTGGGGGCACTGATTTGGACTAGGCCATAATGTGTCAATCACAATTGCTCCCACAGTTCACCCTCTTTCACAAACAATATGTCCTGAAGCCCTGGCCTACCTGGCAGCAAGTCAGTATGCCAAGTCCCCCGTCCAGGGTCAATCCACGTGTCCAAACTGAAACACAATTCTGCAGAGATCCTGAAGCAGCCAAGCTATGGTCCTTCAGCATGAGCAGACACAGCACCTGAGCTCTGCTGTCCTTTTTACTATGCCTGCTGATTGCAGCATCTGGGCTTGATGAGGCATGTGACCATCACCTGCTCCAAGCCTACTCCAGCTGAAGAATCCCATGCCTCCTCCCAGAGCTAGCAAGCCTCACCTGGCCAGCTAGTGAAGCAGGCTGTGAGCCCTTGCCTCCCTTTGCCTCCTGGAGCACCCCACCCACTGCTCCCTACATCTCAGAGCCCACTGTGTTCATGGAGACAGGGACCCCTCTGACTCTGGTGATGGGTCCTGCTGCTCTGTTTCCTGTGCACTGACCTCCATCCCCTCATCCTCCTCTGTAAGTACTTCCTACACCTCTCCTTCCTCATCCCCAGTTTGTCCCAGTGTGTCCCTGTCCCAGCTACACCCCTCACTGGGATTCTCCTCCTCCTCCCCATAGGCCTGCCAGTTCATGACACAATTGCTGTATAGTTTAACTCTAATGCTTGGGTACCTAATGTGTCCTTGTTCAGAATCATTCTATGCACCAACCACAGAAAGGAAGGCACTCCTAGGTTTGTTGCTTACAGCAAAATAGAGAGATTCTTCACTGAAAAGCTATTTTACAAATTTGTGCAAAGCTCAAGACGAACAGCAGTATCTTCAATGAATGTGCTACATTTTTCTTTTTCTCAGAAATTAGCAGCTGCCATGAATAGAACCAGAAGATGTAGATGCCATTAGGTAGGCTGCAAGTTAAGTAAAGTGTCTGTAGTTCCTAAATTACACATCCAACAAAAGATACCTAATTTCCTTTAACTGCTTTTCACTGCAATGATCCTTATTAAGAGTTATTATTATTATACTAACATTTTTTTGGCCTGAATTTTAAATTCTGCCTTGCAACAGTACACCTTCAATATCAGTTAACTTAGAACTGCAGTTCTTCACAATACAAAAGCATGTATTATTTATCTTTAAAAGAGCAGTTCACAAGGGGCGGGGGGGAGAAAAGAGACAGAGCAGTTCACAAAGGAGGGAGAGGGGGAGAGATTTTGCTGTAACAAAAGCCAGACATTCATTTGGTTTTTAGGTGCAGGGCTTCAGCTAAAGGACAACACCAAACCCCGATTCACCAACAGGTAGTCATACATTTTAAGTTCCACTGTGTCTAGTTGGGCTTACTCCCTAGTAAGAATATTTAGGATTGTAGCAATAGCTTCATCAGTGATAATTTAATTTTTATGCTTTTTTCTCCATAGTAACAGATTTCACACAGCCAAATTCTTTTTTAAACAAATCATTACCTGAGCATGTGTATTGTTTCAAGGCTGTTTGGTGTCCTTCCTTTTGTTTTCTCCTACCATGTTCTTATTCTTTGCCCCACTGACCTTGGGCTAATTTGCTCACCTTGTTGCAGCAACCCATATGATTTTCTTTACTATGGGCACCCATGCTGTTATAGTATCTGATGCACAGAAACAGCAACAAAAACCATGTGGGTTGCTACTGTCTATCAGATTAAAAAGAGATGAAGAAGTAAAAATGTGCAGAAAAAGTAATGCTGTTTTGTCTTCAATAAGTAGGAAAACAGGGTGTGCTATTTTGAGACAGAATGAGCTTGGAATTTTTACTGATTAAAGCTATATATTTCAATTAAGGGCAAATTTGTCTATATCTTTCTCAGGGTACATGTCTTAGAGACACAAATCCTTTTCTAGTTCCAGATGGGTAGGTAGCCATCCTATTCTGCTGCAAAAACAACAAATCTTGTGGTACCTTAGACTAACACATATAGTATGGCATATATTTTCATGGACTATAGTTGACTTCACCAGATGCATGAAGCATTATCCTGAGTTGAAAGTAGGAATAAAAGAGAAATTTATTCAGGAGACTTTTCACAGTGGACCAACCCAATTTAGCATATCAACCTTGCTTGCAGAGCAAATGCCAGTTGGATTATGCCCTTCTCCAGATTTTGCTATTTCACTACCAACAAGTGTGCACATAAATATGCATTTTAAGTAAGAACTGCATTAAAAATGCATACCTCAGATGAAAATGCATTGAAAAGCACTGAAATACATCATAAATTGAATGTTAGGGGGAGACTATGTACAAAATACGTACAAAATATGTACGTTTCCAAGCACAATTCAAAGTGTTGGTGCTGACCTTTAAAGCCCTAAATGTCCTCAGTCCAGTATATCTGAAGGAGCATCTCCACCCCCATCGTTCAGCCCGGACACTGAGGTCCAGCGCCGAGGGCCTTCTGGCGGTTCCCTCACTGCGAGAAGCCAAGTTACAGGGAACCAGGCAGAGGGCCTCCGCGGTAGTGGCACCCGCCCTGTGGAACGCCTTCCCACCAGATGTCAAAGAGAACAACAACTACCAGGCTTTTAGAAGACATTTGAAGGCAGCCCTGTTTAGGGAACCTTTTAAGGTTTGATGCATTACTGTATTTTAATATTTTGTTGGAAGCCAC